CTAAGTCTAAGTAGACCCTATTCGCGGCGTGAGGGAGACACGATGGCGCTTCTGATGTACGGCTAATGCCGTTCTTGGTTAGGTTGTAGAGCTATGAGATCTTTCCTGACATCATTTATTCGATTCCTCCTGGAATCGGCTTGTACCAAGGTCAACCGATGGGTTGGCCCATTTAGGTCGTACTTGTCTGTACGGACCTCAGCACAATAGGCATTATGTATCTCATCCCAAGTGGTTGGAGGATATTTCATAAGCTGAATTAATAACTTTCTGGTTGCCCTTGAATCATTCCTGCTCAGCCCGTTTTGGAAAGCTGCTACGGCCATTCCTTTCGATACATTTGGTAAAGTCATCCTTACTCGGTTGAATCGAGTGAGGAAGTCCCTCAATCCCTCTCCAGGCAACTGTTTGATGGAGAATATATCGTTCACTCTTGCCTCTGCCTTTTTGGCCCCAACATGGGTCGTTACAAACTTGTCGGCCATCTCTTCAAATGTTTCGATGGAACGCACGGGCGGTTGTGAATACCAAGTTAATGCTCCTCCAGTAAGGATCTCGCTGAACGGTTTTAGCAAGATACAGGACACTTGTTCCTTGGCAAGGTCATTACCTTTTACAGCGGTGACATAATGAGCCACATGATCTTCGGGATCGGTCGTGCCGTCATATATTTTCATGTAGGGCGACATTTTGAAGGTCTTTGGTATGGCATGTAGGGCGGCTTCGTCACTGTATGGTTTCTCGAGAAACCGACCAGCATCTCTTTTTGGCAAGTGTTTCGAGGAGCCTGGTATTTTGTCGATTCTTTCTTGGTGTTCTCTCATTTGGTCTCGAAGCACTTTGTTCTCGTTTTCCATTTCCTCTATCTTTTTCAAAATGGCTATGAGGGTGTCATCACCTGCATTATTAACAGTGTGAGTAATACCTATTACTAGGGGAAAGGGCCATGCTGCTCGACTATTGTCGGCGTAATGCAAGTCCTTGTGTTTTCTCTAACTGTCTCCTGAGCGGGCTTGTTGAGGATGCCGGTTAACATGTTAGATAGCCAAGTCTCAAGGAGCTTTTTCACAGCTGGTGGCGTCTCTTCCACCGTGGATGCAGAAGCTCCTTTACCGTGGGATGTTGCGATACTACCGTGAGGGATGGGCGACCCACCTCGCTTGGGGGAGACGTTGGGCGTTATGTCCTTGCCTTCTGTCTCAGAAACCTCATTGATGGTGTTCAAAAGGTTGGTGGTGAGGTCAGCCACTACCCTCATTCTTTCTTCTCCATTACCTGCCATGTCAGATCCGTGTGTACAAGGAAAAAAGACTTTTGCTTTTTTTTTTTGTAAATTGTGCTAGTTATAGATCTAGAAGAGACTAAAAATTTAACTAGGAGATCCCCACAGACGTCGCCAAATTGTTTGACCAAAAAGTATAAATCTAGGGTTAAACTAATTATTTTTATATAATGAAGGGTTAAACCTAGTTAATGATAATATCCCTAGATTTATAACTAATTAGCACAAATAACATAAAATAGTATCGGTGGGGGATTAAATGCAATATGCATTTAACATTCCAAACGGTTTGAGTAATGATAGAATAATATAAAGTAGTAAATAACAATAAATGGCATTAATGCAAATAAGGAGAATGATTCACCCAATATTGAATGAGGTGAATGATTCTTCTTTCTGACAGTGATGAATGACAGACAAATCCTAGAATATTGGATCTATTCTCGGATGTGATGGAAACATATTGAATAATGGATGATAGAATCTTATTGAAAAGGCAATGTTTGTATCTTTTCTTAAGAGAAAGTCTTCTTCTCAAAAAGTGTTCTTATCAAATGAATATTACATGTCATTTCCCCTTATCTCTTTTTCTATTTATACGGGACATATTCTTAGTCAACCCTAAAAATATAAGTACAGAGAATATTCAATGGAATATTCTCTTAAATATCCTATTATAAAAACTAGTCGTTAGTACTGTCCTTGATACTTAACCTCGGCCATTAGTTGATTGCCCGTCCATGAGCCCTCACTGTTTACTACTCGACCTCGGCCATATCATTTTCCATAATACCGCTTTATGATAAATCCCTTCGAGGCAGATTTTGACCTATACAAGTTTTATCTTGGATTATGAACGCTATGAGCAAGTAATTGCTTAGTGGAATTATGTACTAATCAAGTGCATATAAGGTTTTGACAGTTTTGAAGGACAAATATGACAAAGTGGATAGATCTCGCATTTTTTTCTGCATAAAGAGCTGTCGCAAGGAATTTCTACTGTACCTACCTATTTTTTAAAGTTGACAGACCTCTGGGAAGAATATGATGCTTTGATGCCTTATCCTGGATGTGATTTTCTAGAATCTAAAAGCTATTCAGAGCATTTTGAATATCAGAGGTCGCTACAGTTCCTAATGGGCCTAATGAGACGTATGAACAGCCTAGGAATCAAATTTTGATGATGAGTCCAGTGCATTCTGTCAACAAGGCATATTCCATGGTAATTTCTGAAGAAATCCAAAGAACCTTGGGAAAGTTTACACAAGTAGTTGATGTGGGGAAAGTACAGTGTTGTTTACTAATAAAGGAGGTATGACCACAGACAATAATTATAACCTAGAAGGAACAACCTATTCTGTGATTTCTGCAACTACAAAGGTCACATAAGAGAAACATGCTTTAAGATACATGGTTATCTAGCTGACTTCAAAATGAGGAAGAAGACCAACTATTTCCCTCAACGACCAATGGTCGATGCCACAACACATGAAGCATAATAGCCCATGGGCAAAACAACAATAAAGGAAGTATCTCAGGAGGGACAACAAATATTAAACTCACTAGTTGGAAATCCTACACTGGCTAAGCCAATCATGTTCACTCAGGAACAATATGATCAAATTTTAAAGTTGATTAACAAAGATGCATGTGATAATTCAAAGCATTTTGCAGGTACAACTAAGACCACTACAACCTGACAAAACAAAGAATGAAAACTGGATAGTAGACTCTGGTGCAACCAATCACATGGTTCACACCAGAGAATTATTTGACAAGATAACCATTGTAGTCCAAAGTCTGCATCTAAATTTTATCTACCTGATGGTATTTCATTAGATATTGCTTGTACTGGAGAAAGTAAAATTGGTGAAGGTGGTGTCATTAGGAATGTGCTCTACATTCCAGATTTTAAATACAACTTATTGTCTGTCTCTAAACTTACAAGGGACTTACAATGCTTTATGTCTTTCTATCCTGACTTTTGGATCATGCAGGACCTTCACAATGGGAAAGTGAAGGGAATTGGTGAGGAACTTGATGGCGTGTATAATCTGCAGCAACAAAAGAATGAAGTCAAAGCTGCAGCTGTGCAACTACATGGTGATTCCATAAAAGAGGAGGATATATGAATATGGCATGGAAGACTTGGGCATGCTCCAGACAAAGTGGTGAAACAAATTTCAAACATGAAGTTCAAGACCAATAATTATAGAATAAGGGATTGCACAATCTGTCCTTTAGCTAGACAAGGAAGATTTCCCCTCCCAAAGAGTACAAGTAGATCAAATAAACCTTTTGAGATGATTCATGTAGATGTATGGGGTCCATATAGAGTGAAAACTTACAATGGATATAAATATTTCCTTACTATAGCAGATGATTACAATAGGATGATATTGATTTACTTATTAAGACTGAAGAGTGATGTAGTTGTACGCTTAAGATAGTTTCTTGCCTTAATAAAGACTCTATTTGGTGGAATAGTCAAAATTCTGAGAAGTGACATTGGAACTAAATTTTTCAATTCTGAATACAGTAGATTATTTCAATAATATGGAGTAATTCAACGAATTTCCTGTGTCCACACCCCACAACAAAATAGGATGGTGGACAGGAAACACAGACATGTATATACTATAAGTGACTAGGGCAAGTAGATTGCAAGGTCATTTACCTTTCAAGTTCTAGGGAGAGTGTGTGCTGGCAGCAATTTATGTAATTAATAGACTCCCTTTATCAGCGCTCTCAGGCAAATCCTTCTTTGAGATGATATATGGGAGAGCACCATCCTTACAGCATATGAGGACCATATGATGTCTTTGTTTTGCTAAACTTCTGGTAGAAGGAGATAAATTTGCAGCAAGGGCCATTGAAGCTGTTCTAATGGCATATTCTTCATCCCAGAAAGGCTACATGTTATATAATATCTTTACTAACACCTTTTTTATGAGAAAGGATATGAAGTTCATGGAGAACATATTTTCTTTACTCTTAAAGGAAGGAAAGCTGCAAGTTTTTCCCAATGAAGTAATAGAACCAGACATTAGCAATCATGATATGCCCATTGACATTACTGATGATCCACCCATACAAACTCCTCCATTTGAAGATGCATTCTCTCATGAGGCATCACATGCTGCAGAAACACCATCTCCATTATCTTCACCAACCCTTGAAGTTGCACAACAACAAGGAGAAATGCCTTTGCCAGCCCTTAAAGATGCATAACTGCAAAGAGAAATACCTTCAGAAGCAGTCATCCCTTTCTATCCAGAAGATCAACTCAGAAAGTCAAGCAAGACTGTAAAGGAACATGTCTAGATGCAGGACTATGTGTGCAATGGGTCATTGACAAGCTCAACTACCAGACCTTTTTCCAAGTATCCAATGCAAGTCTACTTGAGCCATGATGGTGTTCTAGCCAAGTACAGATCTTATCTTTTCAAAATTACCATCCTGAAGGAGCCTATGAGTTATGAGGAAGTAGCAGCAGATCCTAAGTGGGTTGAAAGAGTTGACCGCCCTTAAAGAATATGGAACCTGGTCCTTAGTGGATTTGCCACCAAGAAAGGTGCCTTTTGGCTGCAAGTGGGTATTCAAAATAAAATATATAGTCAATAGGGAGGTTAAGAGATACAAGACTCGATTGGTTATTAAAGGATACAATCAGATTGAAGGACTTGACTACCAGGAGACTTTCTCTCCGATAGTCAAAATGATAACAGTTAGAGTGGTCATAGCCTTAGCAGTAGCACACAACTGGAATTTGCATCAGATGGATGTATACAATGCATTTCTTCAAGGTGACCTCACTGAAGAAGTGTACATGTGCATGCCTCAAGGATTTCACAGCCAGGGGGAAAAAGCATGTAGGCTGCATAAATCCCTTTATGGATTGAAGCAAGCTTTAACACAATAGAATTTGAAAATGACTAAAGCTTTGCTCAACTCAGAGTTTGCGCAGAGACATTTTGATTATTCTTTATTTACAAATAAGCCAGGGACCAGTCTAGTAATCATCCTAGTATATGTGGATGATCTCCTTATAACTAGAAATGATCATTGCCTAATTTCTGAGGCAAAGTCTATATTGCAGTGCAACTTCAAGATCAAAGACTTAGGGTAGTTGAAATTCTTTCTTGGAATTGTAATAGCAAGATCAAGAGAAGGAATACTGATGAATCAAAGAAAGTTTGCAATGAAATTGATCACTGACCTTGGATTGGCAGGATCAAAGCCAGTGGCCACCATAATGGAATGCAATCAAAGATTCATCACTGTGGAATATGATCAATACTTGAATTTGAAAGAAGATGAGAAGCTTCTAGATGCAGGACCACACCAGAGACTAGTTGGGAAGCTGTTGTACCTCACCATGGCAAGGCTAGACATTTGTTATGTAGTGCATGTGCTAAGTCAGTTCATGCATTTCCCAAAGAAGTCACACATGGAGGCTTCAGTAACACTTGTGAGATACATAAAAGGGGCTTTAGGCCTGGGTTTGCTAATGAGCTCATAGCAGTCCCCAAGACTCACAACTTTTTGTGATGCTGACTGTCATCATGTCTAGTGTCCAAAAGGTCTGTGACAGGATATATGATGAAGTTGGGAAACTCCTTGGTGTCTTGGAAATCAAAGAAGTAGTGAACAATATCAAGAAGCTTAGCAGAAGCTGAGTACAAGAGCATGGTTGCTGCAGTCTCAGAAATTTTATGGTTAACAAAGTTGTGCAAAGAACTGGGTGCAGACGATGAATTACCAGTGGACCTACACCGTGATAGCAAAGCAGCAATCCAAATTGCTACAAATCCCATATTCCATGAACGAACAAAATATATAGAAACAGACTTGCAATTCATCAGAGAAAGAATTCAACAAGGAGTTGTTAAAACAAGATATGTGATGTCAAAAAATCAGGAAGCAGACTTGTTTACTAAGGCTCTGGGAAGATCCCAACATGAATATCTAATGAGTAATCTAGGGGTGCTCAACCTGTTTGCACCATCTAGCTTGAGGGGGAGTCTTGAAGAAAGGAACGAGCATGTGCCAGTCACGTGAGAGGAATTAAGTCTGTTAAGTAGGTTGTTAGTTAGTTATAACTAATTATCGAATTGGCTAGTGTAAAGCGTAGATACAGCTGTAGATTAGTTGCTAATTGTAGAGTGTATATATACAGGTGAATAACTCATTGTACTTTTAAGATTTGCAATAACATAGCTCAGATTTCTCTCAAATGGAGAACATCCTCTAGAACCTTCTCGTTCATTTCCTTTCTTCTTCATCTTCACTGAGTTTCTCTCAAATCTTCAATAGTTAAAGTCAACGAAATGAGCTTGATGGGTACAAATAAGAAGTTTACTAACTACGTCGATAACAATAATAAAGTGCTTATCCGATGCCTTTCCAAAAAGTGAAAGGGCCATGAGGTTTTGCTGACCCTAAGCCCCTAACATATTTAAAAGATTAACTCAGCTCAATTGGAAGCACGGGTAATATATCGTTTTCTCCTTCTGGAAATTTAACCAATCCACTAGTAGTTTTTTAGTGCAATTCTAACTCTACCATCGTCTCGTTATAAAAGAGAAAACCAAAAAAGAATTCGTCCTAGTTCCTTAGTTACTATACGGAAATACTCTTCGTTAGACTTCGATCTCGGTTTTTGGTTCTAATTCCAAAATAAACATCTATTTTTTTAAAAAAGTTATTGAATTAGTATCTTGTTTTAAACTTCTAATCACAATACGAGTAGGGACCAAAAAACTGAGTTTTCTCTCCTTGCAAAAAGTCATTCACATTTTTTTTTAATTTCTAATCCAGTGTTTGGTATCCGTATTGGGACTCTTACTAATCCAAATTTGTATCTCATAAGACCCATTGTAGAGGAAAGTGCTTTCTACCGTGATGTTTTTCTTTTTAGACTCAAATTCGAAACCTCTTGTTAAGAATAAAGAAATCTAATTCATTTCGTTACAACTGTTTATGGTCCACTCCCTTAATTGCTCAAGGTCTCTCATTGGATTTTAAGTTTCTACCTAGCAGTTTTTCCATTCAACTAGGTCGTGAATTTCCTCTAACTTGGCCCGGCCCTTAGAAACTATTAGTAGATAAAATTTAAGAATTAACTTAAATAATCGGAGGTCTACTCAATCGATTAAATTAAAAACAGTTAATGAATGTGTAGTATATGTTTAATTCATATATATAATTTTGTAGAATCAGTATATAGTATATGTATATTAGCTAGAAAATATAACAGTGAATTTGATGGGCTATTTGTGTAAAAATTGCAAAAGAAAGTTGGAAAAAACATAAATGGTCGGCCGGTCAGTTCCCAAATTGTACTCTCGGCACGCCAGATTTTTCAAGTTACCCTGACTAGCCATAAAAACTTATCACAATTAAAGTTACAAAAAGATGTACAATCATATGACTCTACTCTACCATAAGGAAACCAACACGCCATCCTTCTCCATCACCTCTTAACCATTAAAAACTAAATGGCCATTGTTCACCATTTTTTCAACTCCATCAATTTACCAGAAAAAAGACCAAATACTAAAACTTACATATTTGGTCCTTTTCAACTGAAACCACATTCAATCTTCACAAAAGAGAACAAAAGTTTCCATAATTCAGCTTCCATTTCGACCACCCTCCTCCCCACACTAAGGCCACCCCCACTATCAAGTTCCACCACTGACACTCCTCTTGCCGTTTATATACATGGATATTACAGGGGCGGACCCAGAATTTTTATACGAGGGGCACATTATTATGCTCAACCAGTGCCCCTAAAGGCTTTTAGTATTTAGGGTGTCAACTACTTTAAATTAACTATTTTCAAGGTATACACATATACAAATACAGAATTTTCGGCCAAAATTTACGGGGTCCGGTGACCCCTCTCCATTACACATGGGTCCGCCTTTGTGGATATATACTTTATATATATGGATATACACATCATATATACATGTATATCCCTGTGTATATTCATGTCTATCTGTGAATATTCCATCCCAATCACCATTAAAACCCTGCACCATTATACAATGTATATATACTGTATAACAGCTTGTTATATAGTGTATATACAAGAGTGATCCCTTGGTTACACACTTGTGTCCACGCCTCCCAATTACCATTATATAACCCCCCATCCAGGCGAGAAGAGAAAACGAGGAGAAGTGGAGAAGAAGCAAAGGGAGAAGGATAAAGTGTGAGAAACAAGGAAAACAGGAACCGACAAGAATTATGCTTCTTTTTTTGTGTGTAGGGCTTATTTGTGCCGGCTATGTAAGATAAAAATCCCGAACTTTTTTGGGAATCTTACGGAAATGTCCCCAATAAGTTCCAACTTATCACCTTCTAACCATTAATCATAAACTTACGAAAACTAGCCAAATACATATAAAAATTGAAAACCTAATAAATAAAGTTCTTTTTCTCCAAGAACCACAAACAAAGATCTCTTTCCATATTTTTAAGCGTGATTAGTAACATTAGATGCAAGATAAAAAGGAAATTTTATGGATGAGATAATAAAATACAAAATAATATATATACAAGATTCTAAAAATGTGAGCAAAAAAGGACCTTTTTCAATGAGTATGGTTGAAATTCATTAAAAACATATAGATGAGTCAATATACAAAATTTGAGTAAGATTGGAGGTGATTTGGACTGATTTGGTATCAAAATCGTAGTTAAAATCGAGTTCAACAAATTCTTCTGCGACACATGTATCACGCATGTATCTCGCACACAGGTATATACATTTGATACAAATATGATACATATGCGATACACAAATGATATTGTTCGCAACAAATTTTTGTTGTATGGAAAATAAACTGCAACAAAAATAATATGAAGAAAAAGAGATTTTATTGATGAATATTTGTGAGTACAATTCTTTGTATCCCTTGATTCTCCTTTATGAAATTCTCCGTGATTCGAGGGCTTGAGAAGCATCTTTCTCGAATGTAGGACAATGTAGACCTCCTTGTGATGTATTTAATCGCCAAGAACATTGAGCAGTATTTTATTGTTTCGGATTGATCTCCGGAAAGAACTCCGTTGACCACTCCTTTGTATAAGAACTTTGTACTTGATGATTGATCTCTCTGTTTGCGGATGCCGTCACCGACAGTGGCAGATCTACATGTTGATTTTGGGTGCTCAAGCACCCATTAAGATTTAATAAATTTGTATAGGTAATTATAAAAATATTTAGATAAATATTGAGTGAACACCCATGACTATAAAATCCTGGATCCGCCACTGGTTACCGATTGCAGAATGCTCTCCTCCAACTCTGAATGTCCCTTAGAGAGTTATGTAACCCCTCTTATTTATAATGGTAGAGGATGAACAGTCCAGCTACATATAAACTCTCTTGCTTGATTCTGATTGGTTCATGTAAGTCATCAAACTTATCATATAAGCTATGTGATAAGCTTGCTTGTGATTGGCCAAGATATGTCATTTTAGACACTTGGCAACTCTTGATTGGTCATTGTTTTGGACTGGGATTGCCACATCATTTAACACGTGGCGTCATCTTGTTGGCTTTGAGTTGACGGGACATGCCATGTCACTTGACACATGGCATGAGCCTGGGCTTTAAGATGAAATGGACCTTGGGCTTGAAATTAAAAATGGACTTATTAATTTGTGAAGTCCACATTAATTATTCGACCTAAAGTAATTTAAAATTTACTCCAAATTTTATATGGACTAAATATAATAATTTTTACATATTTACAGATGCCCCCTACTTCAAGTCTTGTCCGGTGTAGACTTGACGAACCCTAAAGACGAGATTTGAAGTACCTGTGCACGTGGCCATTTTTTAGGCAAAAATAATTAACTTCCAACTGCTAGCTTCTTCTTCTTCTTTTTTTTTTTTTGAAAAAAAAAACACTTTATTTTTATTTTTTTGCCTATCTTTTACTAATAAATCATAAGGCACGTGGCTTCTCATTAAAAAGAATTCTTCAACTTGTATTTCAGCACCGAACAAATATTATGTGAACTTTCACACAGAAGAATTCACCGCCACATGCACTGACCAAATTGCTTTAGGAGACAAAAACACAATTTGAATCCTTTTGAAACATGAAGAAGTTATTTGGCCAACTCTATAAATATCATTTTGATGCACCTGCTAGATATCCAAGGTAAGCTAAGGTAAGCCTTAATTCCTTCCTCGTTCCTGCTTCCTTCTCTTGTGCTTATATTTCTTTTGGATATTCTCTTTCATTTCATACTTTAGAAGTATGTTCTGCACCTCCTTCATATATATTCCAAATCCTTTCTTTGTGACATATTATGAATTGGCAATCAGGATGAGAGACAGGAAGCATGGGATTTCTTAGCGTTTCTTCTAAGATATACAACCATGACCAGAACATTGCCGAGCCGGAGTCCCTAACTACGAAGACACCTAAGAATTTAATCCAGTACTCTACAGCGTCTCACCAAAAACTGACGAGAAAGAACCTCTAACTACACTCT